AATATAAACATTTTCCTAGCTCGCCAGAGGAGCGTGGGAGATACAAGAGGATGAGACTGGCACCTCCCTGAGGAATTCATCCTGTTGTGGCTGGATGGCTTGGGAGCTGGAGTTTTAGTCTGGGAAGATTCTTGCTAGAGGTTGTAGCTAATAAACAAAGCTGAACTGAATTTGCATTGTCTCTAGGAGTTCCTTGGGCTAGGCCTGACATCAATCTTCCCAGACTCCTACTACCTTCAAGTTGAAGGAGTTTGAATCATGGCAACAGATCCTCAGGGAGGTGCCAGTCTCATCCTCTTGTATCTCCCACACTCCTCTAGCGAGCTAAGAAAATGTTTATATCTCTGAGCCTGGCCTTCATAATCCCATTCCATCACACAGGCTTAATCATTTGGCTTAGTTTTATACATTTTGGTCATACTTTATTTATATTTGCCTCCAAACCAACTCTGGACAGATAATATAGCAAAACAATATAAAAACAATACAAAATAAATAAGATGAGATCTGGCCACTCAGTACAAAAACACAGACAAAAACACATCCAACAAGGGGCTCCATCCACTCTAATCCAAGTCTTGGGAGAACAGCCGGGTGTTCATGACCTTTCAGAATGCCATCAGGGTAGGAACCATCCAGATCTCAGGAGGGAACTCATTCCAGATGGCAGGCATTGCAACAGAGGAGGCCCAATTCCTGGGTCCTGATAGATGGCACTAATTAATCAAAGGGACCTGTGAGCTGTGAGGTGATTAGTTATGAGTGACTGTCTGGAGAGCCTCCCAATCCAGGAAGGGATGCAACAGGCATACAAGCTGGAGCCATGCAAAGGCCTTCTTGGTCACAGCTGCCACCTGTTCTGCCAGGTTTTATGCTTACAATGCATACAATGTAAAGCAAGATAAGATGAAGAAGAGAAATTGGCTTAAGCTACCCAGTAAACTTCACAGTTGAGTGATTTCCCCAATCTTAGCCCATCCCTTCTAGCAACTGTATTTCTATTCTTGAACATTGATGCTTGCTCCTTGGGAGGAAAGCTATGGCAAACCTAGGCAGCATATCAAAAAGCAGAGACATCACCTCGCCGACAAAGATCCGCATAGTCAAAGCTATGGTTTTCCCAGTAGCAATGTATGGCTGTGAGAGCCGGACCATAAAGAAGGCTGAGTGC